CCAACCCAAACCATTCTATGGTTCTATGATGTTACAGAAATATTCTGTCTCAACCGCAAAGTTACATCCGGGTATCTTACGAGACATAAGAGACAATTTTATTAGCAAGGTGCTCAGACATTAATAATGAAACAGTGGCTTTTTAGCTAAGAAAAATTATTTTGAAGGCCTGTATTTACATGACATGTTTATTACCTCCCTCAGTCTGCAATATCGACTAAAGATACATGTTCAGTTTTGTGGATTCAAACTCAATAGCTAAAATAAAAAAATACAAATGCATCTATACATTAGTAATGCGTGCACAATAGCAATTTATATAAAACAATGTTGTAAACAGAGGCATGAAGCCCTGTATGGAGAAAGGTATAGGGTATGAGATGTTTGGCCAGCGCTTTTATAGAATCCTATCAGACATAACTAACAGAGCTATCTTAATTTCTACAAATTTTGCTCTATCTTTGTGTACCACATATATATGCTATACATGCAAACATATTTATGCCACATATTTACCTATACAGGTGGATTGATGTGTGCGTATGTCTCCTGCAGCAGCACATAGAAACACATTACACCTGTTTTTTGAAGCCCTACGCATCAAGTAGGTGAAGAAAGCATCCCAAGACTATACCGTAGCATTACTGCCTTCTTAATTCAGCCAACAGCTCTGGGTATCAAATAGTATCCGGACAGCATCATTATGCAGTCACATGACTTTGCACTCTTTTGTGGATGGGCTACTTTTATCTTCTCTATTTCTCTTTCTGGTTTCTCAAGCTCTTCCCTGCCTGGGTTCCATCATCATCATCAGTATTAGTATTATAAACCTCCTTACTGGTATGTCTTTTCTTGCTTTTGAAAGCAATTTTTTTTTGAGCAATCAATCTCTTTAGTTTTCTTGAAGGTATGGAAGTACCCTACAGTTCTCTGCCAGCTAACAAAGAAGCCAGCCCTGTCCCTATAGAGAGGATTTTTTTTTTAATCCTATTTTTAAAAGGTATTTTTCTTTTTGCTCAACTCTAAACCAGAAGAGATTAAAGTGTATTAAGATCCATATGTTGTACAGCAGCCACAGCACACATGTTGAAGACCCTGGTATCAGACACCAACTGTCAGATCTCAGTAAACACAACTTTGACAAAATGGGCCAGAAAGGAGGAACAAAGACATACACATTTTCTAAACACTGGATGCAGATACAGACTGAACAGAGAAAGGAAAGCTGATAATTTTCCTCTTAAATGATAAATTAAATATGAGCCAGAGACTGAAGTTTATCCAGGAAATTGCTCTGCTGTTCATTAAAAGAAGCTGTTAACAGTGGTCCACGTCCTGGCATTTATACACCAACCTAAAGCTTAAAGACATACCAAATGCCCTACACACTAGGAATATCTGTCCCAAACCTAATGTTCAGCATCAATCTTAAGCCTTTCTATTAATGAGGAAAGAAGAGACTATACAACCTGATGGAACCTTTTTAATAGTACAAATCTGACTGAAAATAAGGAGTTCTTACCTGGTGTCACTGAAAAGTTCTCCATCAATCCCAAAGGCAACATCAAGAGGAGGAGCAAGTGTCTGCATTGAAAAAGCCACACGGCACAACTCTCGAATCAAAGTGCTGATCACAATGAAATCAATTTCTGGCGGAAATGAAATCTTCGGGTTGATGTTCATGGAGCGAATTACTTCCTGAAAATAAACAATTGAGTAATTTGAGCTCACTAACACTTTTATTCGATAGCAAGTATGAAATCCCTCCTAAATATGCTCCTCAGCTTTCTACATTTAAAAATCAGTATAAGAAGCTCACAGCAATGCTGTCTTAGGCTATTCCAGAAAACATTAGCTTCATAAAGAATGTGCTGTTATTCTGGTAATGAAGTATGAGCTACATCATAAATCCTAGAAAGGAGATGCAGTACTTCAGTAGAGCACACAATTTAAGAAAAATATGAAATTTAGCTTACATTCATTTGATTAAGACAGTTATAGTGCATCTTGCCCAAAATATTATTCTGCCAGACAGAGACATTCTAGTCACAGGCAAATAAAATAAGCAATTACTGAGCCATACCACAACATTACTGTGGAAAATAAACTGCAACAAGACTCAAAATCCATGCAATAAACTCTTTTCCTTCTTCAGGTTACAGTGCATTTCTAGTTTACACAGTCCAAATTTATTAGCTACTGAAATAGATCAACACATCACTTCCTCACTGCTCTTGACTTACATTGACACTGGCTTGAACATCGTACAGATCTTCATGGTCAACTATATAATCCAGGACAGTATCTTCAAGTGACTCAGGCCCCGTGTGACCGAGAGACAGTGTCTCTGTTACACGTAGTTTGAACTGCCTGTAGGCCATCTTCGCTGCATGAAAAGACTCCTGCAAACATGAAGAATATCTAGTTAAATCCAGGAGACTGAGATTACTTTTTTATCAATTATCTGGGAAGATGAACTTAACCCAGTATTACTACTGTAAGGAGGAATATAAAACACTGCTGTAAAATTTAAAGTCAAAAATAGTACTCATCTGTGAGGACTTCTCTGGTTAAACTAAGTGTGATTTATTTGCAGAAGATGGGATTGAAAAGCTCCCCACCTCACCTTCCATTTTTATGTAGGATTCCATCACACCCCCACAATCAATGAAATCACATTCAAAGATACCAAGAGCAGAATTTCAGTAACAGCAGTTTATTTGCTACAGCCTAACACAACAGGCAGGAGCACCTCTTTTTCTGCTGGGAAGAAAGGTTGAACTGGAAAGTGTAAGCTGAGAGGCAGTTGTGGGAAAAAACCTTCAGTAAGTTAATGTGTACGACTCCAAGCACATTTAAGAAACACACTGCTACTCTGACAAAGGTATGCACTACATCAATTCTACAGAAAAGAAGATTAAGTATAGAAAAATAAAAACAAGTTTCTTCAGACTGAGCTCTCAGGAAGTGTGAGGTATCTAGGTAATTTCAAGGGAACAAATAAAACCAGAAAAGCACATAGCTACAGGCAAGAGGGAACATCATATGGAAAGACTTTTTGCTGTCTAAAATGTAGTATTCCCAAAAGACTTCATCTAAATGAAGCAGTGTTGTTTACTGCAGGAATCATCCACCTTTTAGAGCCATTCAGTCTTCCTATGTGCCCCTTTTAACACCTGTACTGTCGATCACTGATCCTGTTCTAGGGACAGGACAGTCAGAACTGAATTCAGAGTCTGATGTATAAGTGTGAGGGAAAGAAAGGAAAATCAAAAGGTAAAAAAGATGTTTTCTTCTCCATACTTCACAGAAATGCTAATTTACACACCATTTAATCCAAACCAACCACAGTATTTTATAGAATCATAGAATCAACGAGGTTGGAAAAGACCTTTAAGATCATCAATCCAACCATTACCCCAGGACTGTCAAGACCACCACTAAACCATATCACTGACAGCCTCATCTACACAGCTTCTTAACACTTCCAGGGATAGTGATTCCACCACTTCCCTGGGCAGCCTGTTCCAAGGCCTGATCACCCTCTTGGTGAAGACATTTTTCCTCGTATCCAATCTAAACCTCCCCTGGCACAGCTTAAGGCTGTTACCTCTTGTCCTGTCACTTGATACCTGGGAGAAGAGACCAACCCCACCTCCCTCCATCTTCCTTTCAGGTAGCTGCAGAGAGCGATAAGGTTGCCCCTGAGCCTTCTCTTCTCCAAATTAAACAACCCCAGTTCCCTCAGCCATTTCTCATCAGACTTGTTCTCAGACCCTTCACCAGCTTTGTTGCCCTTTTCTGGACACATTCCAGCACCTCAATGTCTGTCTTGTAGTGAGGGGCCCAGAACTGAACACAGTATTTGAGATGTGGCCTCACCAGTGCTGAGTACAGGGGGATGATCACTGCCCTGGCCCTGCTGGCTACGCTATCTCTGATGCAGGCCAGGATGCTGTTGGCCTTCTTGGCTCCCTGGGCACAAGCTGGCTTATGTTCAGCAGCCATCAATCAGCACCCCCAGGTCCTTTTCTGCTGAGCAGCTTTATAGCCACTCTTCCCCAAGCCTGTAGCATCGCATGTTGTTGTTGTGGTCCTTCTGGCCTGTAAAACAAGAATCATTTTTCTTACCACAGCTGCAATGTATATTATCCTGTGTACCATCTCCATGTCACTGATGTATGCCTTCAAAAAGGTCTCTGCGTCCAAGCGTCTATGATCATAAATGTCACCGAAGCGAGCTATCAAGCAGGCGCGACGGGAAGCGTTTGTGCGCCTGGCTCGGCCAGGTGAGCAGCTCCTCGGGGGAAGTGGACCGAGTGACTTGTTCTCTCTGCGCCTTGGGGAAGGAGAGCGGCTCCGTGCAAGCCTATGACAGACATGTAAAGAAGCATGAGGCCACTTCACCATCCTCAGATGATTTTGCTATGTGCAGTTTTCTGTCAATTTGATTATTACCAGGGTAGGCTGAGATTATATAATTAAAGTAGTAAAGCTGCAGCTGGTTAGTTTAATATGAAGGCTATTGTGCCAATACATTTTATGGGCCAGAGCCTGCACAATAAAATTAAAGTCATTCCTAAAGTGTGTACAGCCAAGTACTTTGTCCTGGGGAAATACACTATTAACACTTCAGAAATTTGTTCCTCTTTCAGTACCACTGAAGAGCTGTAAAATCAAACAAGTGAGAATATAACGAGTTCTGCCCTGCAACGGTACACTATTCAAAGAGGACTTACAAAAAAAAGACCTAACAATCTCTTTTTATCCTGTACAGTTGCTCTCAAAGTATTTTGTAAAGCTGCTCTCTTTGCTGTTTTACCAGACACTCAACATAGCTGCCTGAAATTAAAATATTTGTGCACTAGGACAAATCACTTAAAGAGCTTATGTACCTTCATAACAAAGTACAAAAGTTTAGCTTTTGCTTATACTTCAATTTCAAGTGAGGAGGGAATTCCGATTCAGTAACTTCTCTGAATAACGTCTCTACCTGCTTTGGAGAAGAGACTTCTCGGCATCCAGGATAGAAATCTTATCCTTCAGCATTTGAATCTGATGCTCACAGTCATTCAGATGATCTAACTTCTTCTGGGCATCCTTCTCTTGGGCACGAGAAATCTTCAGACTTAATCACACACAATAAAGTCAGTCACAAGATGTCCTTCTACCAAAGCAAACCATCTGTCAATTAATGCTCATCAAATACAAAGAACAAAAAAGGAGAAATAGGAAACACTGAGCAAGCTTCTCACGCTGAAATAGAGAAAAATCAGAGTTTAAAAAGTATACCTCAAAGCATTACTCCTAATGACACTTTAAAATGTAAAAGCGTACTGTGGCAGGAGACTGGACACACTACACCTTATATTACAGGATTGATCACCAGTTAACATTTGGTGTCCTTGCACTAGCTCCAGTTCAGATGATGAGGTCTAAGAAAAAAGTGGTTTCCTTCTCATATTTAAGACGTTAACTAAAGCAGCTCAGTTTTCTTTCCTACAGTTCAAGGCTCTAGATATTTTCTTATATCAGGCCCTCAGATTATTCTTTGCTGGAATATATTAGCCAATGATAGATAACCTTTGAAGGTCCCTTCCAACCCAAACTGTCCTATGATTCTATGTTATTCAAGTAATATCAAACGCTAATGATTCCTCTCCTGCTCTCCCCAAGAGAAGCAGTGTTTCTTAAACACTGGCAGACAACCAGTTAAGCAAGTTTCTCTCTGTCCTTTACTAAGAGCTAAAGAATTCTAATATACAGAACAAGTGGGAAAGGAAAGTAGATTTGGGAAGACGAGTTCTTGAGATAGAAATGGTGGAAAATCATTAGATACCAAAAAAAAAAAAAAAGGTAAAAAACCAGCACACTAGTCACGCTTCCCTTAAATTTCCATGATAGCCAATGCAGTGTTAATAACTATACAACAGAGAGGAAAAATAAGAAGTAACCATTTCACTGCTGTATTATTTTCATTTTGTTATTTACCCCTACTCACATGGGGATTTTTTGGAATGTTAATGGTCTTTATCTCACTGCTGTGAGAACCACAAAGCTTCCATCTTTCTGTCATGACAGCAGATAATGATTACAAATACAAACAGATGTTTAATTGTGGGTCTGCCTTTATCAGAAGGGAGAAGAAAAAAGAAAAAGAAAAAAAACCCAGAACACAATAGGAGAGCACATGACAGATTGAAGGCAGCAGAAATACCTGTATTTTTCATTGTCATATAGGAAGTCACGAACATGAGAAAAGCCACCACTGAAAAGGAATGTTTCTTTCTGTTCTGGTTTTTGCTGGGCTAATTTTCTTCTTAGTAGCTGGTATGGGGCTGTGTTTTTGATTTGTGCTGGAAACATGTTGATAACACAGAGATGTTTCAGTTACTGCTGAGCAGTGCTTACACAGAGTCAAGGCCTTTTCTGCTCCTCACACCACCCCACAACAAGCAGGCTGGGGGTGCACAAGGAGTTGGGAGGGGACACAGCTGGGACAGCTGAACCCAAATGACCAAAGGGATATTCATACTATATGGTGTCATACCCAATATATAAAGCTGGGGGAAAAAGGAGGAAGGGTGGGACTTCAGAGTGATGGCATTTGTCTTCCCAAGTAACCATTACACATGATGGAGCAATGTTGTCCTGGAGATGGCTAAACACCTGCCTGCCAATAACAATCAGAATTACAGAGTGGTTTGGGTTGGAAAGGATGTTAAAGACCATCTAGTTCCAACCCCCTGCCATGGGCAGGGACACCTTCCCCTAGACCAGGTTGCTCAAAGCCCCGTCCAACCTGGCCTTGAACACTGCCAGGGATGGGGCAGCCACAGCTTCTCTGGGCAACCTGTGCGAGCGTCTCACCACCCTCACAGTAAAGAATTCCTTTCTCTAATCTAAACCTACTCTCTTTCAGTTTAAATCCATTCCCCCTTGTCATACCCCTACCTGCCCTTGAAGAAGTCCCTCTCCACCTTTCTTGTAAGCCCCCTTTAGGTACTGGAAGGCTGCTATAAAGTCTTCCCAGAGCTTTCTCTTCTCCAGGCTGAACAACTACACCTTTGCTGTGCTTGTGCACGGCTTTTGCTTTCTCTATTAAACTGTCTTTATCTCAACCCAGTTTTCTTTTACTCTTCTGATTCTCTTCCCCATCCCACCGAAGGAGGAGTGAGTGAGCAGCTGGGTGGTGCTTAGTTGCCCGCTGCTGTTTAACCATGTCACTTTCTTAAGAAGAAAAACAAAATACCAAAAGGAAAAAAAAAAAAAAAAAAAACAAACCAACTTTAAGACAGACACATTCGTGAATTACCAATGCTGACTTCCATGCTAGTTAAATCCATGCAGTATTTGAGTTTCCCCTGTTTTACAGTTCATTCACTCTACTGCTAAGTATTATCATATTTCTGTTCAGGTTAAAGAGATGTAGATGCTACAAAAGAAAAAAAAATAATAGGAACGAACAAGGCAAAATTTAGCTCTTGGTAAAATCAGAGTGGTTTTTATTACCCACTTTTATTTTAAGGTTATAACTAGAGTTTTAAACTCCACCATCCAACCATTTAAAAATAAAACGGGCATCTTCAGCCAGTTTCTCAGGAGAAAATACAACAACTTTGATAATTTGTGTCAAGCATCTGCCTAATCCTGTTTCAAACCCTCCAGTTTCAAACAATTAATTAACAATAAATCTGTCACAGTTCCTCCAGTCCTTGGGCTAAGCCCAACTAGTTCAGTCAGATTGTCTTGAAATTCAAGGCAAGAACAGCTCCATCCATGTAATTTTTGCCAGATACCTGTGTAACCTATTTTTACGAGCCCCCTGCCACAGTAACACTACAAGGTCTTGAGGTAACTGATTCAAGCTACCATATTTGCTATTATTAATTACAACCGTGTTTAGCAAAATCTCTTCCTGCCAATCAATATAATAGGTCTCCTGGATGGCAGATAAAAAAAGTCCTCTTGACCTCATTTAATTCACAGTGAGTCATCTGGCTTTAAGTTTGATTAGATCTTGGCACAAGTCTAAGCACCCTAAGAGTAAGCTTCCATTTATAATCATAGGATTTTGTTCACTCTGTACATAACAACAGGTTTTATTAAACTTTATGTTTTGTCTTCCCCTAAAGAACTTTCAATTACTTTTAAATGTTGATCATTGTTAATTTAAAAATATTTTCCTTCATAATTCTGCAGCAAATTCCTAAATCCTGTTGTAATTAGTATCTTGATATAAAAAAAGCATATACTGGTTGCAGAATTTAATTATATTGAGTCTAGACCACATTTGCTCTAACAATCCAGGAGACCAAGATTTCTTGCAAAACATGCTTTAAGTGTGGGAGACAGACAGACTACAGACAAGAGGAATGAAACTATCAGCTATTCCAAAAGCCTCAAAAAGCACGTTTACACAGACGCAAAGGACACTCCTGGAAACTGTTCCTTCTGTAAAAAAAAAAATAATCCTGCCCTAAGTGCCACAGATCAGTCCTGACCTCACACGCTGGAGGGAAGGGATGCCATCCAGAGGGACGCTGACAAGCTTGAGAGGTGGGCCAACGCCAACCTCTTGAAGTTCAACAAAGTGCAAGGTCCTACACC